GCAGTATAACCTTTTTCATTTCTAATTTTTGTTATTTGAATCTTCTCTCTTCTTTCTTTAGTTAGTCTTGCTAATGGTTTGTCAATTTTATTTATCTTTTCAAAAAACCAACTTTTCGATTTGTGGATCATTTGTATTGTTTTTTGGGTTTCAATTTCATTAAGTTCTGCTCTGATCTTAATGATTTCTTTCCGTCTGCTAACTTTGGGTTTGGATTGTTCTTGATTTTCTAGTTATTTAAGGTGAAGTGTTAGTTTGTTCACTTGCCATCTTTCCATTCTTCTGAAGTAAGCATTTAATGTGATAAATTTCCCCCTTAGTACTGCTTTTGCATTGATCACAGAAGAGGATTTCTTACACATTGACCATTGTGGTATAGAGGAAAGAGCATTAGACTTGTCGGTAAGTGACCTGGATATTTACAATGCTTCTGACATGTTCTAGCTTCATGATATTGGGCTGTTACCCACTTTGTAAAAATAAGGGTAGTAATATTATGTTCTGGTTATGTATTTTTTTTTTTTGCAACAAACTTTCCCAAACAATGGTACTTAAAACAGCTATTTTGTATTCTGTTCATGAATCTTGAGCATGGATTGGCATGAACAGCTCATCTCTCACATGTGGTTTCAACTGGGATGGTTCAGAGGCCAGGGGTGACTTGAAGGTTAGGGGGCCGAGATGATTTAAAGCCTTGCTCGCTCATGTATCTGGCAGCTTACCTTAGCCCTCATCTGTGACCTCAGTTGAATCACCTGCATGTGGTCTATCTATGTGGCTGCTTGGCTTCCTCACAGTATAGTGGTTAGGTTGCAAATGATCATAGCCTCACTTCTGACCGACTTTTTGGTGGAGGTAGTGTCAAAGGACAACTCAAGTTGAAGGGAGAGGGGCACTTGCAATGGGAAGAATGTTAAGATCATTCTATAATAGGGTGCGTAGGTTGTGGTCATCGTGGCAGCCATCTTTGCAATATGCCATAGCTTTCTTCCCAGAATTCTTATAAGGATCAAACACAAGTAAAGTCTTGGAAAGTAGCTGGCAATATGAATTACTTGAAATGGTTGTTTTTTGTTCCTTCATGATCAGCTTAAAAAATTATTAGCACAGTGTGGAATATTTGAACTTTAAAGTGTGGTTCCAAAATCTGAAAAGAATTTTTTCCATCTCTTTAGTTATAAGACTACTAATGGGCAAAATCAGAAAAACAAGAGTGATATATGTATACACACACACACACACACACACACACACACACACACACACACACACGAGGGTACTTCTAAAAGTTCATGGAAAAATTGAATTAAAAGGCAATATAAATCTTTCCATGNCTTTAAAGTGTGGTTCCAAAATCTGAAAAGAATTTTTTTCCATCTCTTTAGTTATAAGACTACTAATGGGCAAAATCAGAAAAACAAGAGTGATATATGTATACACACACACACACACACACACACACACACACACACACACACACACGAGGGTACTTCTAAAAGTTCATGGAAAAATTGAATTAAAAGGCAATATAAATCTTTCCATGAACTTTTTGAGGTACTCTTTTGTATATTTTAATTACCCTGGTTTAAATGGACTGGAATAGTGAGAATTATGCTTAGAAGCCTTTCACAAACACTATAAGCTCTCTATCAGACATTCCTTTTCTGTCAGCCAGAAGTTTCTCATTAATTCCTCTGAAATTTATTAGTACTACCAATTCCCCTTTTCAGATTCTTTGTCTGTGCTTACCATATCAATAGATTATGATAATACAAGCATCTGTGTACAGAATAAATACTTAGTATTCTACCATCAAGTATAAATTCCTAATAGAGGAAATCAACAATTAGTAGAAAAGAGAATAAAATTGAATAACTTTTTAGGCCTGTGCACATATTAACAATTAATTTTATCTGGATCTATAAGTCTCAATTGAGTCCTAATTTCTGTTATTTTCTTGAAGGATTTAACTTTCTGGTGGTCATAGAGTTCTCTCAAACCCACTCACTGTTACTTCACTGCTGTAGTACAGTAGGAGCAACGTGAAGCCCCTGTTTCCTAGATGTAAACTTTTCTAAGGTGTCAGTTTTAATGGCATGCATATGTTATCTGTTCACAATCACTCACATGTATATATGCAAAATGTATGTTTTACTTCCTTGGAATCAATGAACAATCCCCAGAGTAAGTAAATGTTCTTGTTCTCAGCAACTTCAGTATTTAAGCCACAAGAATAAAAGGTCAAAGACTAAGAAAGAAAGGGAGCCTTAGACTTTGCTTTGTCCTTTGACCCCCTCGTTAGGAAGCAATCCATGGACACCGTGAGTCATGGTGCATGTGTCCATGAGTCAACATTTGCATGCAATCTACATGAGGCAATTACAGTCTTTCTTTTCTATCACAAGAGAATGTTTCCCAAGGGTATAGTTTATGCTGTTGTTATAACTC